TTGAATAATTAATTTGTTGTTTGCTACATCGATTATTGCGTTATTTTTCGACAAGAACTCGTTTCCTAATATTCCGTCCTTGGGTATTGGAAATCGTGCACTTACGATATGAAATTCTGTTTTAATGTTTTCGCTATTTAATTTAATTAATATTGATATTTTCCCTATGGTTTTTGTAAGACATTCATTTATACCGCGTAGATTTATTTTTTGCGTTTCGTCTACTTCTAGTTCTTCGCGTAAGCAATTTATTTTGAGAATATTTACCTGACTACCTGTATCTATCATTAAATGTAATTGATTTGTTTTTGCGGCATTAGAATCGAATGTTATATGATTATTTTCTAGTTTTGCGAATATGTGAAATATTCGTTCGTCGGTTGTTCCGCGATAATCTGGTTTATCGTACGAGTACCGCGCCTCTCGTTCGACACGTTTTCGTTTTCCGAATTATTAACGTTCCTACTCTCATCGCTTCTCTTTTTATAACACGAGTCGATATTATGACCAGTTTGATTACAGTATGAACACGTAACTACCTGTATATTATAATTCGTAAGTGGTTGCGTAAAATTATCCCTATCAGGTGGACGGTTGTTATTGCCATTGCTCGCATAACTAGGTCTCGTATTATTCCTACATTGAGATGCAAAATAATTACCATTACAATTGTAGCATTTTATTGCTGGCCCATTGATTGGTTGAGAAAAATTGTTTGCTCGCGGATGATTATTTGTCCTTACAGGGTTATTTGGTCTAATGTTTTCGTTGTTCCTATTTTCGTAATTCGATCTGCGCTGGTTATAATTTTGTGAATGAATATTCGAAAAATGGTTTCTATTTTCCTGTTCTAATCTTAGTTCTACTTGTTCTGACATGGCGATTTGTTTCGCGATTTCCAGAGTTTTAGCATTGTGAGATTTTACTATTGTTCTAATCGGTTCTACTAATCCTTTAATAAATATCGCTAGAGTTTGTTCCCTTAATATATCATATATAATTTTTGCTTCTGCAGGTTCTTTGCCTAATGTACTTACGGTACATAACTGATAATATAGTTTCTCTACTCTATGGCAATAATCGTTTACATCCTCATCGTGATTCATTCTAATCGAATTTAATTGAAGTTGTAACGGTGATGCCGTAGTTGTTACCTCAAATGCATCTGTTAAATAATTTTTTATAAACTGCCATTTCGATACATTTTTGTATTTAATCATTTCTAATGCTCTACCCGTTAAACGTGTGGTAATATATTTTACTAGCGTTGGTGCACTGTTTGTGTCGACTAAACTTACTGCCATATCGCATGCATTTATGAATGGATAGATATCGTCTATTCCTGTGCATAGTGGAATTAATTTAAAAGCGTTTTCTAATTTTATGGTTACTGTCATTTTTTTTTTTTTAGTGCGTGTTATAGGTAAAAATACTAATGACTGGTGTTCAAAACTATCTGTAACTTGGCTACGTGTGATTACTCCTGGACTTGGGTTTCTACTTGCGCTATCTCCTAACTGGGTATCTACTATAATATTCAACTGGGCTTTAAACTGGGCTTGGGCTTCTCTGGGCTAATAACTGGGCTTCTAACTGGGCTTCTTCTAATACACTAGTGTCATACAATGAATTAATTACTTTCAAGGGAGATGTATCTTTTTTGTCCATAAATTAACTTAACCACCTATTTAATACGTTAATAATCATAATTATACTCAATAAAATTCAATAATGCCCTGTAAATACAATAATAACTTCAATAATATGCCCTCTAATAAATTCAATAAACTTCAATAATACTTCAATAATAAAATGCCCTCAATAATCAATAAACTTCAATAATAATCAATAATAACTTCAATAAAAATATGCCCTCAATAATAAAACTTCAAATAATCAATATGCCCTCAATAATTCAATAAACTTCAATAATAATCAATAAAATATGCCCTCAATAAAATTTAAAACGGTTTACACCATTACACTTATAATCAACTACCTAGATTTATCTTAATATGTCTTAATTATGTTGCATACGTCTATGTAACAAATTTAAATAACTATTCACTCACAATAATGCTGTGTTCATGGCTGATGATGACATGTTGCCGTTGATGATGCTGCTAATGGATTTGTTGGTACTGCAATGTGACTTATTTGTTTTTTTGTTGGTTCCTCCTGGAGTTGTCTTCGCTGAAGAGTGATCAATTCCTCGTTGTTGACAGTAGCCTTTGATGGTTGCCTCCCTTTGGAATCCTACCGACTGCGCCAGTGTTACATGCGGCCCTTCAGGGATCCAAAAGCTGGTGTATTTGATAAATAATAATAGTCAAATTAGTATGATAATCAAATGTAATATATTAAACCAGGCAAAACAAGCAGAATAATAGTGTTGATTGTAGTGAATTTGTAGCTCGTTCCGAAGTTGATAATCTCCGTGTAAGTCGTGTGTGATGGCTGGGCGGCTAAGCGAGACGTGTGGTGTTCTCGTCTCTGGATACATCTAACTCAGGCTGTCCCGCTGTCCCCTATATATATGGTGGCGGCGTCCTTTGAAAGTGAGCGGCGCGTGTACAGTCGCCCTTGATATGGACCTCACGATTATGAAAGTGGTATTCGTAGTCGAAAACACTTTTGGGTGTGGTCGCATTCCTGGTTGTTATTATGAGCAAAATATATGGTATTGCGTAATCCCATTACAAGATGAAGAAACAAATGAATTTTTATCTGGCTTATTAAATGTATCTGATATTGATAACTTGGTTCTTTTGCAAAATGTGAACGAACATCATAACTCAATCAATAACGATTGTACAAAAATTACTGAAGAAGATTCATACAGCTTGTGGTTATTGTTAAATGAATGGAATCTAGGATATTTGCATAAAACATGCATTGGTAAAAAAAAAACTTAGTTTAATTTCAATGTTAGTTAATATTACAAATTTAAAAATGTTTAGATTCAATGATTGACTTGGAATGTTTGAGATATATTACACCTTCTCAATGTGAAAAACTATTGAACAATTTTCCTTTGGAAATTCAAATTAAATTTGAACATCATTTAACAAATTGGAAAAAAAACCGTCCAGTTCCAAATAAATTATTGGAGCTTCAAAGTATTGTCCAGTATATTTCAAACGAAATTCCTATGAAGAGTCCTGAAACTTCATAACCATTATTGAGTTTATGCAAAATATTTGAAAGTTCATCACAAGGACATTTGGTGCTTGCCAACTACAAAAAGTATGGTTCATTAAATGATGCATGTAGAATAATCCTTGTAGATATGGTAATTAGAACAGCTATAAAAGAACATGTTATTATGACAATTAAAACTGCCGAAGAAATTTCTGATCAAATTGTGGCAGCTTTTCCAAAAGAAGTTAAGGTATACTTATTTGTTTTTAAAACTATTGAATGTACCTAAATGAGCAAACATAAATTTAAAATATTAATTTGCTTAGGATTATTACTTTATGCGTGAAGGCAGTAGAGCTCCTAAAGGAAAGTTATATGCAAAGTATCACAATGTAGTACGGAATTTAAAAACCGGTGGGCTCATAGAAGCAACAAAAAGACATAAACCATCAAATGTTGAAATGTGTAATGTTCGTACATGAATAACTTTGGTAAATATTTTGTTGTATTAAAATATGATTTTGTTTTTTGTAACTTAACAATATTGGTATTTATCACTTTTTTTTTGTTGTAGATTCTGAAACTGATATTGATCAGTATTTAAGTACTTTGAATCATGATAACTGCACATTCAATGAAATTGAAATTATTTGGAGAGCAACTGTCAAGTATAGGATAAACTATATTAAACCACTGACCACATTACTGACCACTGAACAGTTACAAACTCCCAGCTGGCTATAAATTAGTAAGTATAACCATCATTAAAGACTTTGAATTTAAATATTTTAATCATTATAATATACAAAAAAAAATAATTGTATAATAAATAGACAAAGCTGGGCATTAACTAGTTAGAAAGTTAAAGTTAAGTTAGAAAGTTACATAAAAAATAACTAGTTAGTTTTGATTTATAATAACTTTGTAACCTCACTAGTTAAATTGAATGTGTAAAATAATCTAATCTAACTAGTTAAAAACAAAAAGTACCTAACTAGTTATTTATGTGGTTTTCTTTTTTTTAATTTCAAAATCCAAATGTTTCGAAAATCTGTCAAGTTTCAACTATAAGTATGAGTATCAAAATCTAATATTCATAGCCGTGGCCCGTGATAATAATTAATTAATAGATTTTCAATTTTATGATGATAAATAGTTAATAAATTTTACTTGTCATATTATTTCTTATATCTTATTTATATTAGTTATATTTCTTGTGATACACATTACAAATTAACCATTGGGCATAAATGGTATCTAAAGTAGTGGCTTAAACTATATGCGTAAGCGGAAGTGGTGTTGGTAACGGGTAAATTATTATTTAATTATTCATTTATAATACTCTGGCCACTTATTGGTAGGAGGTGTATACTTACCCCCTCGAGCACCCCTTTCTGTAGTTGAATCCCATACCACTTCTGTTGAACACATCATTTCCTCTTATAAACCAAATTCCCTAGTCATATGTGGTGATTACAATCTCCCTAATATCAACTGGTCTTCTGATGAATTAGGATTAATCGGGACTAATGATCCCAGTATAATTTCCACAACTATTATTGATTCTTTTTCTTACCTTAATTTTTTCCAGCATAATTTCTTTCGCAATAATCATGGCAGTATCTTAGATCTTGTCTTTTCCAACTGCAATAGAATTACAGTCAATTTAGCAACGGAATATTTGGTTATTCCTGATCCTTACCACCCACCTCTTCACGTGGTCCTTCCTTCACAATCTGACAGATCAGTAGTTAATACTCATACATATAAAGATTTTAAGGCTGCAAACTACACTGCCATAGCGCAATTTATTAACTCCTTTAATTGGGAATTAACATTTTCTCAGTACACAATCGAAGATGCAGCCTCTGTATTTAATGAAGCCCTACTTCATGCTATCGATTTGTTTGTTCCTACAAAAATATTTAAATTGCCAAAATTCCCTGCGTGGACATCTACCTCTCTTAAAAATCTTATTATGGAGAAAAAGCGAGCTCACGCACTCTATAAGTGTTCGAGGTCCCCCTATGACTACTCAGCTTCGTGCTAAATGCAAGCGCCAATCTAAAATAGACTACCAGTCTTATATAAAAAATACCGAAAACTCGTTCAATCGCAATCCCTCACTATTCTGGAAATCTATTAAAAATTTAAACCAGAAAAACACAATACCTACCACTCTATTTTGGAACAATGATAAGGTTGATACTCCTCTTGGGTCGGCTAACCTATTCTCTAAGTACTTTTATTCTATGTATAACAACTCTATTTCTCCACCCGTCAATATTTCTAATATTAATACTATTCCATATGAACTTCCTTCTAATTGTCACTTCTCCCTCGACGATGTGCAACTTGCACTCAACTCTTTAAAAAACACCAATTCTAATGGCCCAGACGGGATTTCAGCACGTTTACTTTTTAATTGTCAAGATTCTATTGTTTATCCTCTATTCTTACTCTTTAGGCTATCTCTTGATGAGGGTATCTTATTTCATAGAAAACGTACTTGCATAATCCATCCTTATTCCCTTAATGGCTCTACTCTCAAGCGTGTATCCACTGTCAAAGATCTTGGGTTCTATCTAACTCCTTATCTTTCCTTTGAACACCATATTGATGTTACTGTTGGTAGAGCGTTAAAAATTCTGGGGTTCTTAAAGCGCAGCACTAGCCTTTTCACGTCCGCTACTTGTATTCGCTCCCTCTATTTTTCCCTTGTCCGCTCTGTCTTAGAATATGGCTCAGTTGTTACGGGTACCCGTATCTAGCCAAGGACCAATTACGTTTAGAGCGTGTCCAAAACCGCTTCCTTTCCTACGCCGCTTTTATACTCAATACTGATCACCCACCCCATGATTACCTATCAGTTATAACTTCCTTAAATATCCCTACTCTCGCATCTCGTCGTGTCGATGCTGACCTCTCATTCATCACCTCCCTCCTTAACGGCACAATAGATGCCCCTAACCTTCTGTCCTCCATCTCTTTCCGTGTTCCTGTGCATTTCACTAGAAATCACTCTTTATACCTTGTCTCCTCTCACCGTACTAATTACTCCTTTAATAATCCATTAGACAGAATGCTACGCCTACTTAATAGCTCCTGATCTGCAGCTGACTATATTATTGTTTATCTCTACTGAATGTTTTTGTCTTTAGTTTTATTTTACCTTAGCATGTACTCTTTTTAGCTGAACGCTGTTTAGTATTAGTTTAAACTTAAGTCTATATTTATAACTATATTTTCCATGTATTTTATTTCATTATTATCACTTCATGTTATGTATCTATAAATTGCCGTTTGGCGTTAAATAAATAAATAAATAAATAAATAAATAAATAATAACAATACTTTACATTAAAACAAACGGGTTTTTAAAGTGGCGGTTATAATATACATCACGCACGTACGCAGCTGTGGGCTGCGGGCACAGAACCGCTCTTTTTATACTACTACAATTGTCTAAATAAATTCACAAAATATAAGGACTTACTTTCGGCCTTTAAATAAAATTCTCAATATATTCACCAATATATTCAACAATAAATACTTAACCCCCTTTATTAAAATAAATATTTTATAATAATCAACATAAACTATTTCAATTAATTACCACGTAAAAATTTGGAATTTTAGTCCTAAATAATAACCTAATAAATTCAACTATTTATTTAAAAATGTTAAATAATTTAATCAAGTAATTTTAAAATAAAATGTCTTAAAATAATTATTCTCTGAAATAATTACTCAAATAAAACAAAAATTCCCTTTAAGTATATATTCTAAAACAATTAGTATGAATTTCCGTTCTATTTCAATAAATTAATTTTATTCTTAAAATTATTTTATTATTTTATAAAATTATTATTTAATTAAATTATAATGGACAACACAATTTAGTTCCATTAACTGATGAATAAGTAAAATAGAAATTGTTCAGCTTAAATAAATTTTACTATTTGATATAAATGTTCTATAATTAATCAATCATAAAATTATTTGAATATAAAAATAAAATTCCGAACAGTTAAATTGTTTTATTTAAACGATTGAAAATGTAGTGTAAAATTAATTTTTTTTTTTAATTTACTTAAATGATTGAAGAACTATTTAAATTAAATTATTAGTTTAATTTATTCAAGTGAATGAAAATTTATTTTAAAATCAAAGTGCTATTTTAATTTATTTAAATGATTGAATATTTTATTGTAAAAGAAAATTATTATTTTATTTTATTAGATTTAACTTAAAGAACTAACAATTACTAACTTATTCTTTTAAAAATGATTGAAACATAAGATATCTGAAAAATAAAATTACTTATTTATTTTAATTTAAAAGCTGAATAAATTTAAATTTTTTTAAAAATAATTCATGACGTTATTTTAAAATAAAACAATTATTTTATTTAAATATTATTTAAAAGTTAATAACTTTTAATTTAACACAATTTTATTTTATTAAAAAGAAATTCATAGTTCCTATAATACTTATTAAATTTAACACGACTAGTTATTTTTTCACTTATTCTATACTATGGTCATGTATGTACCATAGGAGACGAACACCGATATTAATTATGCTAAATACTCATAACAATGCAGCTGGTACAGCGGGTTCTTCCATTTGTTCTATTGATTGAACTTGGATGTTACGTAGTTGTACAGGATTCTTTCTCGGAGTTGCTGGAAGGTGATCAGGCTTCCAACGGTGATCCAGTGATGAATTTCCATCTTTGAAAAATTTAGAAAACGGAAAAATTTTCAGTTTTTCTAAAAATTCTTCTTGAACCCATACAACGAGAATTCAGCCAAAATTTGGTCATCAAATAGCCATTATTCTTCGTACAATATTTCCCAAATCCTTATTACCAACTAATAACGACAACTCACTAACCTAAATAACAATAAAATATTTTTTTTCTTGTTACAAATTGTATCTGATAAATTATATTATTATACATACCAACGAGCTTCTGAAATCAATGTCTTGGATTTTATTTCCAATAGCTAAAAGTCCGTGATGATTTGTTATTGGTAAAAAATGTAAAAATTGGATTCAATGTCATAAACATCTGCAGATATATTTTGATTAGATAATGATTTTGTTTGAATATTATCCATTAAATCTTGTACATTTTCTTGAGTTATTTGATTAACATTAATTAAACTACTAATATCATATTCTATATGAGTTAATGTGTTTATCACAAAAGTTTGAAAATTTGAAAAAAAATTTAACCAGTGAATTTTTACATACTATTATAATAATTAGTTCATTTCATTTTTTGGTAAAACAATTCAAAAATCACCTGATGTTGACATGAAAATACTGCGATTATCCCCTGGGGTTACATTTTCAACAGTAGAAACTTAAAAAATAGTAATCAAACATTAAGAACTATTTTAAATTGAATTTGTATATTCAGTACTTAACTTTTTTCCTTTAGTATTATCAATAAACACTTGTTTCTTTACATGCATACTGCTGTGACTTTTATTAATATTGGAAGAAATATCATCATATTTTTCGGGGAACGGAAAAAAAGTCTCTAGTAAAAAAAAGTTTATAAAACTAATACAATATACAATTTGGAATATTTTACATAAAACTTATATAATCACTCTGTATAAAATGTTTTGTGTGAAAAATAAGTTGATAAAACGATAAAATCTACTATTCACATATCATAATATCTAACATACCATATTATACGTTAGTTTTGTGTGGACAACAGTAAATAAAATGACGCCTACTTAATAGCTCCTGATCTGCAGCTGACTATATTATTGTTTATCTCTACTGAATGTTTTTGTCTTTAGTTTTATTTTACCTTAGCATGTACTCTTTTTAGCTGAACGCTGTTTAGTATTAGTTTAAACTTAAGTCTATATTTATAACTATATTTTCCATGTATTTTATTTCATTATTATCACTTCATGTTAATCTACGATGCTTCAGTCGATTAATCGATGCTTCAGTCGATTAATCGAAACAATCGAACAGCCCTACAGGTACCTACAGACCGATTCTGTGGCTATATCGTGTATATTTATAACCGAGTGGGCACAAGGACAAAAGGCAGTAAAATATAATATAATAACGCAGTTTATTGAATCAAAAAATCGAACTTTTCGTCGCATATTTTCATTTTCGTATATAGTAATAACGACACTGTCCGCTCTCCGATCTCCTCCGCGGCACTCGACTCGAGCGAAGTACTGACGCGGGCGGCTTATAAATTTAGCGGGGGACGCGAGGAACATCCAAACGGGGAGAGTAATACCACTAGAACGGGCCAAGACTCGAATTTTAGAAAAACCGGCAAAAAACGATGCGACGCAAGCAGTAGCGGCTCGTGAGTAAATATTCTGGGGAGACTTAAATTATATAACATAAATTCCATATTCCTTTTCCCCTCTAAATATTACGCAAGTAAAACAAAACACTTTATTCCGTTTATCACAACCAGTAAGCCATGGGAATTTATTATACTAATTCTTTTGAAAAGTTCTAATATATTTACCGTCTTGAATGTTAATAATAAATGAGGAGTTGGGCGATTAAGTTTTATTTGATTTTTTTGTTCATATGTTAAGGCATTAAAACCACTGGTTAGTAAAAATTCTATTATATTTTCTTTTTGCATTTTAAAATACGAACAAATCCTGTAATGCTTATAAAAATATAAAATATAGCGAGAGTGTTGTACCTTGGCACCATTTTTATAAAAAAAATTCTAGAACCTTTAATTTTGAATATTAAATGTTCATTTTTATTACTCATATAGACAATACACATAAGTATATGGTAATTTTTTTTAAAGGCCTTGTATCAATAATTTTTTTAATTAAAATTTATTTTTTAAAAACACAAAAAATGGTCCAAGGTACAATATATATTGTACCTTGGTATTTGGGGTATTGTACCTTGGTTTGCATTGAAATATGCATACTTAATTTCAAAAATAATTTTATATTATGTATTTGATTAGTTATGAATGCCTAGTTATTACTTATTTCAATTATTATAGTTACAAAATATATTTATTATTATTTATAGATACCTACCTATAATATTACACAATAATAAGAAAGGTAAATAAAATAAATAAACTTCAGTCTCATGTTGTCTTTATTTTTTTTATAATAAACAAAATTAAAACAAAATAAAATAATCTACAAGCAATTAAATAATAATTTTTAATGAAATACCAATTTATGAACTATTAATGGATGGTCCAAGGTACATTCGAGTTATATTTTTATTAATTGTTCTTTTGGCCATTTTGTACATTTATATTGTAACAAAGGACCACACCATTCAATTAAATACAATATTTAACATAGATGAACACTTACCTTACTAATTTAAATGAACAAATTAAAACACAAAAAGTTGTGTTTTAAAATTCAAAAATTATTTTTTTTGTGATAAGAAAATGATTTGCTTTTTATCAAATAAATACGTGCATTTTTGTTATCAATTTCTAAATTATTTATTGTAGTAGGACTAATGACGTAAATTTCTTCCATGAGATTTTGTTTTCCCCCAATATTTTATAAAATATTTACATTAGTCCAAGGTACAACACTCTCCCTAATAATAAATGTTAGATTGTTAGATGGATAATATACGTATAATAATTATTAAATAATTAATAAACAGTGAATAAAACGTCTAAAGCTAGTTAAATACGGGTATACACGGCGCAGCGGCACGGCAATTACTGTCGTGAACCCAGGTTCAAAAGCGTCTATGATACGCA